TCATACTCTGTTACCCCAAACATATGGCAACACTTATCCCACTAAGACTTATCCCACTCTCCAGTAGCAGGGAACTTGTTCTGTGTTGCAATAGGTGAGACCATGAGCTATGCTGATGTGTATCTACACAATCTATACTCCAACAAGTGGGTGACATCCTGAAGGAAATTATTCTTTCCAAGCTGCAGTGGTGTCTCTGTGCTCAGATTCTTTCTTTCATTCAGAATATGTTTTGCTATGAAGAAAGAATTTTAAAAGTTTTCATATATATCTCCATATTTATATCTGGCACTGTGACAATAAGACTGCCATTTGCTTTTTTATCAAACGAAGGATTTTCAGTGCTGCTTGGCCCCATGCTTATTTCGGAAGCCTATATAAATCTTGCCCCACATGGGAGTAATTTTGAACTTATTAAATAATGATTTTTCTATGTCTCTCCTACTTTGATGTAGCCTCCTAGGAGAAAGAAATATCCTGGATATATAACTTGGTCATGTTTTAACAATTTGATGATCTCCTCAAAATCCTTCAAAAAAATGAAAGTTTTTTTAAAAAAGAGAACTTCTGTACTTAGCTCAGTTGATAAGAGGCCCTGTCCCCCTCAAATTATAATGTAGCAAATTTTTTAACATATACTTTACATTCACAATTCGTTTCTTATTTTTAAAGTTAATTTTTTTTTATCATTTGATTAATTGCTTAAAACTGTACACAAAGATAAAGGGAACTTTGAAATTCATACCTTGGAGTATTAACATGTACTCAGGACTAGATGTAAATGTCAGAGAGAAAAAAGATCTAATGAACTCTTTATTGGTGAAATACTGTATTGCAGCTGCCTAGAATTTTAAAGACTTTGTAGTTCACTCCAAAGCGAAATAACTACAGAAGTTTACTTACAGCATGGACTCTCATTCAGCATTTCTAATACCTTCTTCCAGGGTAGATGGAAGCCATTTGTTTTGCTAGAAGTTGCAGCTACTTCATTTTGATGAAGTTTAGTGGATTCTTTTAACATTAACAAAAAGTCCAGGGAAAAAAAAAAGAAAAGAAAAGAAAAAAAAATTGCAACCACAGAAATATTTTTCTGTCTAGAAAATTACACAACCATAAGTTTTCCTTTTCCCTGATGTCTTCTCTGCCATAATAATGGCTTCAGGATTTAAATCCTTTGCTGCTATTGTGACTTCAAAGCCTTAAAACTGCAATTGAATGAAGTAGTTCATCTGTCATTATTCAAATATGAAGCAATTATGATGAAATAAAGATAGAATTCCATTGAGAAATACCCCAATCAATTCTCACTTATATTTAACTAGAAACATAAAATGATGCTTAGAAGAGTAGGTTTAGGTAACAAAAACTTTGAATATAAAAAGTATGAATTACTGATCTATAACTTACTCATTTCTGAATAAGCTTTTCTAAATATATTTCACAAATACTGACAAAAGTTTAAGCTTATAATGCAAAATTGTCTCTTAGCTGGTCATAGAGAGAGACTAGCTTTTCAGAAACATATTTTCATCAGTTTGGGTGCCCAGAGGTTCAGATGGGAACTTGCTGAGATTTTTAAAGGACTCTGAGTACATCAGCTCCCTCTAAAACGTGTTATATCGTGACATGTTAATTGCATGTGGAACACGTGGGTTTTATAAGTGAGTATATGAAATAACACACCTACCTCGGCCATGTCTTCATTAAATTCTTGCCACTGCCTTGATGTTCACACATCCTGTAAGGTCCTTCTGTGGATTTAGTCCTAAATGTTTATTTTCACCTTTCTGAACACAACCATGGCCCATCCCTACCCCTGGGCTAGAATTTCACAGGGAATTCCCACCTGCACCCAGCTGTATTTGGGAACATGACCCAAAGGTTAAAAAGTTATTTATTTTGTTTTATTATCTTCCATCCTTTCTTTCTCCTTTCATCTTTCTTGCTTAATCTACCTATGTATAATACTCTGTTGATAAAAAATAAAAGTGAATTCCGCAGTCAGACCAAGAGCTCCCAAAGTTTTGCATCTTAAAGCTCTTCAACTGGGTCACATCCTTCCCATTCTCAATATGCAACAAGCTCAGATGGGAAAATAACTATATATAATCCTTTTTTTTCCCTACTCATAGTATTCTGTTCATGTGGAAAACAAAACATCCGTTCCTGCTTATGGAAGAAGATTTTGTCTTCTCTTTAGTCTTCCCGTGGCAAAACAGCATTAAAAAAATGCCCAAGTGGATCCTACAGTATTTTTCTCTTAAGTTTACAACAGTTGCAGTCAGTTTTAAAGATCTTTACAATATTAAATTTTGTTGTGCTGAGAAAGGTCACATACAACCAGGGATATACATATTCACATTATTTTCCTCCATTTTTTAGGCATTTTATCCCTCTACCTGGGTATAAATTTTCTGTCATTTACAGACACTCATGTCTTGCTGTTTAATTTGAAAAATGTAATTTCTTCAGACAATCCAAGAACTAAATGTTAGCACAATTAGAAAGCAGTAGTACTTAATATTGAATTTTAAATCAGAGATGTAACTAGCAAGAAGCATTTGGGTTATATACAATTAATTATTTCACACATAATTATTCCTGACATTACTCTAACTTAAAGCATTTGAAAAAGCAGACTGTAATATTCCTTTTTTTTTTTTATTTGCACAGAAGCTCTTTCACTTGATATTCTCTCACTAAATAATATGTAAAATACTGACACCTAATGTTAACTTTCAGTATTATTCATTTTGCAAAACTTCTACTACAAGTAGAGAAAGATAATGTGAAACTCGTGATTATGTTGCAATTTTTTGTTTCAGTAAAATGGAACATAGTCTTCCCTCTCTTTTTAGAAATAATTTTCTGAATTTATATATATGACTATAAAAGCAAGGAGCTTTCATGTTTATCTTCACAGCTTATAGGTAAAAGGGAGAGAGTAATTCAGAAAGGTGGAAATAAGTGAGGTTTGACACATTGAATTGAATCAAATCCATCAAATGAAACACAAATGTTTATTTATAAACTCAATATTTGTACTTGTAGCCTGAATCGTTATTAAAAGACATATTATCAAGCATTTATTAACAATCTGTTATCTTTAGAAATCTGGACTGTAGAGATGCAGCAAGTACTTTACCTACCCTACTTGGTTCACTTTACACAATCAGAGACACACAAAATTGTTTTCACAGTTCGTGAATTTAATGCAGGTACCAAACTGCAGCTTCAAAATTCAATGTTTATCTCCTACCATTCCAAGACAGCTGGTCTGAACCTGATGTCTAAGTGCCATTTAGGAAGAGATTTTGAGGTTCTTACTCTTCCTGGGTTTACCAAGGTTCATCTGCTATTGAAATAAGGTATTTTATAGTATAACCTAGTGTCATATCTGGATTTTTATTAAGCTTGACTGACTTTATCAAGAAGGCATAAGTGAGTGCTAGCCAGAGCTGTACAGCAGCACAAGTGCTTCAAAAGGCACTGATTATGAATTAAAAACCTTTTCCATACTGTGGACCATCACAGTTTTATATTTTGTGCTTTCTTCATCAACAGTCACTATATGGAAAATGGTCCTTTACTAAGATCATGGTATTTGACAGATGAAAATAGTTGATGCAAATATAAAAATAAAACTACTGCCACTGAAATACTGAGACCTGGTCTGCAATACAATGACATAGTCTGAGCTAAATTAAAGAGCTATGGCATCAACATAATAAAAATCGAGGGAGCCAGAGCTTTCCAACAGATTAAGAGTCCTGTGCTATTCTTTATAACAGTATTCTAGTTTAAGAAGCTGTTCTTACTCTTCACTTGTGCTAAAAATATCAACAAATGCTTTATTTGCTGTTCTTTAAGCTTTTCCTTATACATTACAAGCAATTAAATAAGTATTACTGCAGCAGAGATTTCAAAATTACCTATTTTGGATCAATTTTAGAAAACAGGTAGAGACTGTGAATGCCCTTGAGTTTCCCTGTGCAGCAAGAGATCCTCAAAGAGTGTGAAAATTTCAACCAGTAAAACTGTCCTTGAGCCAAAATGGTTTGGAGCAGTCCTCCCTTCTTCCCCTAAATCCTTTCTTTAAATGGAATAAAAAGAAATACTCTCAGAAGTAATTTTCCAAATGTTTCATACCAAAAATCAGAAACATTATCATCAGAGAGAAAGTTTTAGTTGATTCTTAAAAAGTGTATGCACTCAATATCTACAGACTTAGCAGCTTATTTGCCATTTATGCCAAGGTGTTATTTATGTCTTAAAAGAACTTTGAGTAAAGTGTTGGTTAAATATAAGCAGTTTTTCTTCATTGCTCTTACCTGTCTAGAGCAAATCTCTGTAAAAATTTGGGCTAACGAATTAACACTTAACGATGAGATATTTTGCTGCTGCTTAAACAGTTTAGAGGTCATTTTGTTTAATTCTAAACAAGCATTGTTAAAACAGCAGTAAGTGCTCATACAGCCCTTCATACAGGCTTACGTGAACTTAAAATTCTCAGCTTTCTCAAGCCTATCATCTTCAAGATGACTACCTAGAAAGCTAAAGAGTAAATGTTTTGTTTTAGCCAGATGTATGGACACTAAAGAAGGTATGTGCAATGGAAATTCATTCTTCAGTTAAACGAGAATTTCAAAATGTTGGGCCCTTTGAAAAAATCAGTATGCAGCAGTTCAAAGTTTTTAAACAACTAATTGTTCAACTTCTCCTTTTCAAGTATACCATGTACTTTAAATAGAATTGATAAATTAAAAATGTAAATTGGACTGTATCTTTTAACTGTTGGTGATTTGTCTATTTTCCACTTTTTATTATGCATCATTTTTATAATAAAGAAGGGATTTATTTTTTTCATTCCTGTTCTAGATGATAGCAATTCTTCCATGCTTCTCAAAGCTAATGTAATAAAACTACATAAAATGTTTAAGAAAAGCCCCATTAAAATATACAAAGCACACTAATTCATGAAGTCAAAGTCAAAGCAGAGTGGAAATATGAGCTTTAATAAAACTATGTCTGTTGTAAATAACTATTCAAGCACAGTCATTTTTTTGCAAATTGCATGGGATATAGCTCAGTCTACTCGAAGCAAAGAATCGCTCAGTGGGATAAATGCATCTTAGTCAGAAATAGATTAAAAGATACAGCTGAGCCATCAATAAGAACCAGATAGCGCAGTATTGTTTGCTGTTTGTTTTGAAGAAGTAATTGCAGATCCCAGGATTTCAATAAATCTGTGCACATCATGGAAAGAATTGTAGAGAGGAACTGGGGCAATGCGAAGAGCATTTGGTTCTCGCATGTCACACTGCAAAACAGAAAGGGAATGCTTAGTAAATTCAGGTCACTTCCCATTTATCTGTCAGACTATGTTTTTAAATGTCATCTTTGTCTTTAAGGAAGAATGACTGGACCAACAAGGAGACACATGTAAAAACTTTGAGACCCCTAGGAACCTACTGTGAGGAGCATTATTGTGAAGAATCTGATAAGAAGAGTAACGTGTTGCCTAGAAAAGGATGCAAGGCTCAGGATGGGCAGCTATATATTCCCATAATTTACCTTAGCACCTATAGTAACCCATAGTTGAAGAGGAACACAAGTAACAAAAAAGCCACCATGAAACAGAAACCTGCCAGTGTGATAGTGTATCTTGTACTACAGGTACAAGTAATGTCATAGGGCTTGCAGTTTTTTCTTCCCCTGCTCTGTGAATTTGAACATTTTGCTGAACAGAATAATCTTTCATATTTGAAGCACATTACTGCATTGCAAAGACAAGCCAACAGTGTAAGGCCTCGTGCCCTCTTAAAAGCAGTAGTTCCTGGAATTCCCTGGCAGCACCAAAACAGCAGCATATTTGGCCTAGAAGAGTTACCCTTTGGGGACACAAGTCACCAGCAGAAATAAAACTCATATATCATTTATATGGCATTACGCTATCAGCCTCATCTCCCAGCACTTCTAAATCACCAAATGTATAGCCTTAAATTTGGCTTCTACTCTTTTCAAGCAGTGCTCACTGGTAACCATGTGTCTTCTTCTAAGTGCTAAAATAAGTTCCTAAGGGAATGACAGTTTTTTTTTACTTTCTCCACTTCAATGCCTCACAAAGAGCAAGGTTTTGGCCATTTGCAGATGAGGAAAGGGACTGGTGGAGGTTCAGAGCTCCTGGCCATCATTGGGCTGTAGGTATGTGAGTTGTGGTATTGAGGATGGTGAGCACCACCTGAGCACTGCTGACCACCAGCACCCTGGAGTGGCACAGATCTCCTCTTTGTGGTCTCTGGCCTCATGCCTGGATCCTCTGTAGGGGATCTGGACAGGAACACTGAACAGGAGAGGCCTGAGCAGGCAGTATATTGCACTGGACAGCTCTGACATAATCATATTTGTGTTTTTAAAGTGATATTTGGGGGTTTTATTTATTTTCTTCTTTTCTTTCCCCCCCATCTTTCCTCTTCAGACCATCAGCTTCAAATTCATAATGCCTCTCACCATAATGCATTCATAAAGTAGCTCTAATCTTAATAGTGACAACTGGGTGCTACTCACAGAACTATTGGAAAATTATTCAATACAGAAAGAAAAATCTACAGACTGACAAATAACTTTAAAAGTAACTCTACTAATTAGACCTATAAAATTACTTATTAAATTGAAGATTATATGTAAGCAATTTTCATCATTCTCCATCATTTTTGGCCTTACATGAGACTATATTTGAATAAAAGCAAAATGATTACTTTGTTATGGTATAGGTTGACAAAACAGTGTATAAGAAGATGGGATTTGATTTACTCACAGCCACTCCTCTCTTCTCCAGCTCTTTAAACACAGATTTGATTGGAAGGGAAAAAGATAGCGTGAGTTGGCATCCTCTTTCCTCAATATGAGATGGCGTGATTATTTTTACAAAGGGCTTCTCTGGATTTGTTTTGTCCTCATTGTAGTAATGTTTTATCAGGTATTCCAAATAACCAGTGAGCAGAACAGATTTCCTTCTCAATGCTTTCATTGTAGTTTGACCAAAAACCTGTAATGATTTTAAATCATTAGAATGATAATGTATTGCTATAGAAAATAAAAAGGAAGTGAAGACAACTAAAAGGGTAGCAGGTTTCTCTGTATATTATCACTGGCATCAAGTAGGAATATCAGATAGATATTATACATAAACATGGCAGGATCAGGTTTTTGAAAATACAGGATAATGTTATTACCTTAGATAATGAAACCTGTCTGTTGTTAAGGTTCTACACACATCCATACCTGCATAAATGAATTTGCAAACAAAAACAGTTTTCTAAGAGAGTATTCATTTGCATATCTGAAGAGGATCCATATATTCTCTATGCATGCAAGAGAGCTGCATGAAACTCCAAATCACATCCAAGTTTTTTCTTGTATGCACCTCAAAACAAAAGCCAAAGGGTGAAGACTGCAACTTCACAACTAATCTACAAACTTGTGTCTTTGAAAACACAAAATTTGCACTAACATATTGACTTTAATGTTTTAAGTCCTGCACAGGCAGGGTTGCAGGCTCTGTCTTGGCTAGTCTGCAAAAAGAAGAAATATTTGCTTGATTCTGGTGTAGCAACTCTGTTTTCTTACACAGCTACGAGGACTGGTGAGATGCAAAAACTCCAAACATCACGAGACATGCAAATGAGATTGCTTAAAAATGGCAATGCTACTTTGCCAAGTGGACAAGAACAAATGAGGCAGAAGAGTTTGGGCACAGGAGAAGCGAGACAGCTTCTGCATGTGCTCTGGAAAGGGTCAGTTAAAGAGAACAATGGAAAATGTGACTCCAGAAACAATTCACCTTCCTCAAACCTCCTCTTTTCTTCTTCCCATGCAAGTAACTCCAGGGAAAAATTATGAGATCTAGACATGCAAGTACCCAACAGTCTATTCGAATCAGATTTTTGGCACATAAATGCAATGTTGCTGCTCATGGACAATTGCAGAGGCAAGGTGGAGGTCCTGTACAGAAATCCGTGATCTTAACTCCTAAGAAATCCCTGCTCCAGTCTGAAGGAGTAACACTTTTAAGATTACTTATATCGATACCTGAAAGGGTGTATAAAGAGGTAACTGAGAAAAGTCTACTCAAAATATAAGGTCTAGTTTCCAGCAGCATCTGGAAAACACTTTTTTGTAGAATAGCCCAAGTATTACTCCACGATGCTATCACAACCACTAGATACTGCACAAAACCAAAAACCTCCAGGTGTTTTTTGCTGCAAAAAAAAAAAAAAAATATGGCTGCTGTAAGACAGACTTCAGATGGAGACAGAACAGTCAAGGAAATGTATGTGACAGGGACCAGAGCCACCAGCTGTCAGTAATTGTACAGGTCAACAAAAACCTAGTGGTACTTCCCTCACCACACAAGCAAGCAGAGCGTACACACAACAATTCAGCACGTTACTGGAGGTAAAATGGAGATCTGCCTCCTACTCCTCTGGGCTTTGCAGCAGTATGAGGGATGGATCTCCTTAGGCTGCATGTAAAAATCTGTTTGCTCAGGCTTTGTGCAAAGAATATTTGGCCTCCAGGGTGAAATTTTTGAAACAGATCTTTTAAATGTGGCTGTGGAGCGCTCTCCTTTTTTCCATAAAAGGGAGCAGCTACTGCCATAACAGTCACTTTAAGCATTATTGAGGAATAACATACATTAACACTTGCAGTTTTCATTGTTTCCATTGGAAACACTGCCTTCTGCTTAATGTGTCCCAGTGAAGGTGGCATGCAATTTCACTAGCCATCTCTTGCCAGACATGAAAACTATTTTGTTTCCCACTGTATTAGAGCAATTAGCACTGGGAAATCCTGGCTGTGCCAAAAGGTAATGCAGACACGGAAAGGGGAGGCGATGGAAACTGCTCAGCCATCATTGTTCGAGGCTCCCTGCAGTGGGCTAAATGACATCAACCCACACAAACTGGAGCACTGACAATCTGGGTCATAGCAGAATGGCTTTCAGCTTATCTCGAAGGTCACATAAAGTTTAAAAAAATATATTGGATGTTTAAGGGCTAACAAAATAAATTGTCAGGCAGAACAAGAAGCATTGCCATGCCCTTTGCAGTCCTTCAGCATTGCATGTAAGCTGAAGAGAGCACCATTGGTAATTTTCTGACTTTATTTGCTTAAGACACTGTTTCTTCAGTGAATAAAGAGGGACATACAGCATATGGACATTGTTCTTTGTTCCAGCATCAGCTTTGCTGTTACACTAGCATTAATGGAATACTAGCAGAAATAAAATTCTCCCATTTATACTGATAGCAAAACCTTGCTAACCAAGGTTGTCTCAAAAAGCAGTTTAGGAAAAAATTTAATATAATAGCATATGTAGCATATAGCAGGGAAATCTATATCAAACCATCCTTTTCAGCCACAAAGACCTACAGTAATGCATTTCAGGGGTGAACCATCCATAAGAGAAACGTTGCTATGTCTTGATAAGAAACACAGCACATTACACGGTATTTGGAGAGCAGCTGCATGCCTTCAGACAGAGTTGAATTGTGCTCTCCAAGGTGGACCAGAGAGCTTTCAGCACATGGGCCATCTCTTCCTAGAAAGGAAAGGATGGGCTTTGTAGGGCAGGACTGCCCTTCCCGCTGCCATGGTCTCAATGATTTGTACAGAGATGGGTCAGAGATGGAGCTGTGCTCCTTTGGCCACCAGAAAAATAATGAAGAGACAAAAGAAAAAACAGTCTGGAGTTATACCACCCTCATTAATTCCCCTTTTCAGAAGCATTTACAGACAGCTTCTGTCTTTTCTGTTTGTAATCAAAGGGACTACAGTGGATGACAGGTTCCCTGAGCTGTTGGTTCAGTTTAGACTCCAGGACATGCAGTAGCCACATCCATTTTCTTTCCTAAATGAGCTAAGTCTGTTTTACCTGTGGAAATATATGTAGAAGCAACTCTGGATGTAAGTTTTGAGAGTTACATGTTTCCTTACTAGGAAGATCTTTACCAGCATCCTTCACATGGGTTGCAGGGAGGCAAGCCCTGAACATCTCTCTGGAAAAAGCCGCTGTTGGTACTGAACCCCTAAAAGCCAGGACAGTGCTAGTGGTCAAGCTTGGAGCTGAGAACCTCAAATACACTGGGTCCAACAGCAAAGTTTGTTAGAACAGTGAAGGGATGAGTATATTTATTAAAGGTTTTAGTCTCTCGGGGTTGTGGGGTTATTTTGTTTGTTTTTATTTCCCCTCCCTTCATTTTTTAGCTATTCTGCAAATATTTTTAAGGGAGACAGGAATAATACACATAACATTAATTTAACATTTTTATACTCTTAAATTCAGGCTCAAAGTAAAGCAATTACTTACCTCTAAACTAGCTTGCAGAGCGCAGACCAGTAAAATCGGAGGATTCGATAACCGAAATCCATTAATTCCTTCACTTAGTTGTAATTCTGGAAAATGAATAACTTATATTAGTGTTTTTGATTTCTTCCTTTTAATGGATTGGACCTTATCTTGAAGTCCGTCCTCATGCAATAAAATATTTCACTAATGTGGCCCATAGGAATCAGTCATTAAAAGGAAATAGTAATCTATTCACAGCTAATACCTTTAACTTCGAGAGAAGCCCAATTTTATCCGGCAGAAGACTTCATTAGTGGCTTCATGGGAACTAGAGAACTGCAATTAATTTGTTTAAATGGTGTGTGTCAAAACCACCTTTACACTCGAATCTCTTTTAACTCTGGTACAAAACAGAGAAATTCCAAGTCAGCAGAGACACACTCGTGCAGAGCCGCAGTGCTGCCACGAGCAGGGAATCATGTTCCTTAACTTTATTAAACTGACGAGACGCGTGGGAGACTGCATATGCAGCTAAGTGTAGCTTCAGGCCACGTGAAGAAGTTGCATAGACTTTAGGCTGTGAAATTTCACAAAAATCTATTTAATAAATCTATAAAGCCTCGCTGTAAGTTCTGTGTCACCGTTTATATTTCATGCTCCAGCACCAGAGCAAGAGGATGCTGCGGAGGAAATGTTTTTCATGCGCTGCAGATTGGCTAATTTTATAATGATCGTTGCCCAACTTCTCCCCCATAAACTGCCCGTGGAAATGAATAAACAATATTTTTCTTCTTCTAACAGTATTTCAAAGCAATTTGTGTCTCATGCTGCCTTTCCATAGGGCCACTCTCTTACATTTGGTCAGAAAACAAAGAGCAGACTGAGGCTTTTAAAGAGGTGTTCTCCAGCCAAAGTCACATCAATAGGCACTGCTACAAAAAATAAATTAAAATATATTAAAAACAAATCATCCAATCAAAGCAAAAAAAGTCCTTTCTCCTCCTGATTCCTCAGGATATTTTCTCTGTCATACTCTAAAATGGAGCTGAACAGTTTAGCTGTCAGATTTGGAAGGGAGTCCTCATTTCACATTGGGACAATAAATATTTAGCTATTTCAGAGCAGGATTGGTTTTGTCTTGTAACCCATCCTTTGGTAGTGCAAGGGATTTGGAGATGCTGAAACATCAGTGATATTTCACGACTTATGTCAGGTTGCTTCACCTTTATTTATATGAGTTCTCATTAATTCCAGTAGAACTAGTCCTAAAGTAAGATATTACCCAAGTGAATGATAGCAGATCCTCGCTCCTCAGAGACATACATGTTTAATTCACTGAGATACTTTGAAACTTTCATCCATATTCTACATCTGCATTTTGAAGATATTTCAGCAAAATATGTAGAAGCAGTCAGTCAGACCCATATATCCAGACACCAAATTTATTCCTGCATTTATTTTTTTAACTCCATTGCATTACATACTTGGGATGAGTTTAGCTTAAGGCTTTATCGTAAGTGAGGAAATGCAAAGTTCTACCCTTTCTACTCAAACTACTATGAAAGTGAAGCTGATTAGATACAAATACATCAAATAAGGTAAAACTGAAAGTGTAAAAGTACATACTGTTTTCCATGAGGAATCGTGTTTTGAAGTCATGACCCCACCAGCCGATTAGCCTAAGATTTTTTAAAGAAAGTAAATTAATAATGGTCTTGGTATAATATCTTTTAATTTAGACTTGAGAGTTAAGAAATACATAAGTAAGATTAAGAAGTATATAACATTTCTAATAACGTATTTCTTTTGTAATTCTAACAATGACATAAAAATGCAATAAATTATAGAAGTAGCTAGCACTAAAAACTTAATATTACTATTTCTAAATTTCTCTTTAACTACTAATGATAAAATGTACCACATCTTCCAATTAACTATTGATTTCTAACAATATCCATTTTGTCTGAATTAATTTCACAAAATGAAAAATAGAACAGAAATGTTTCCATTGTTTTGTTCCAAGGCATTAAATTCAATCCCTCTTCCTAAACTTAGTTTAATGAATATTGAAAGCTAAAAGATATTATAAAATCTGGCTTGGTTTCACCAAGCAAAGGAGTTGATGATGGACAGCAGACAGAGAACATGGTCTCAGAAGAAGGATTGTGTGGGCATTACCTTTTCCTTACTGTGAGACAGCAATGAGTTCTGAGTAAACTTTTCTTCTCCTGAACTGAGCTTATTATTAAAAAAAAAAAAAAAAATTAAAATAAAAACCAAACTGATTTAATAAAAAAATCAGGTTTTTTAGATCATCTCCATTAAAAAAAAGAAAAAAAAAAAAAGATAAATTACTTTGAAAATCATTCATCCACTCTTTTAAATTAGGATGATATTACATTATTAAAATTTTTATATTTGATGAAAAATATGCTCAAGGACATAGGTTTAAAGAATTTTCCAAAGCCACTGGATGCACTGGATCACCTAGTGCCCAAGGCACTGCAGATAAAGTCAATATTACAAAATCAAGGAATCTCTCCCCACCTCCCTTGGGTTCTGGGCATCTTAACTCAGTACATGGTACTATCGGTGACTAACATCAGTATTGCTTGAATTTCCCATGTATCAATGCTATATAATATTAGGAAGAATCTTGACCTTAGAAGGTCAGGAAGGAGTCTGTGCTCTCCAGGACTGGACATATTGGACACCACTTGTTCCAAGGCTTTGCTCAGTTTTCTCTATGCCAAGTAGCAGAGTTGTTAGGAGTGAAGCCTGACGAGTATTCAAAATTTGTAATAGTTAAAAAAAAAAAAAAAATCCCTAAGTAAAACTCACAGTAGATCAGCCTTCCTGGAAGTAAACAAGGAAAAAGAAAGGCATTTCCCCTCTCTAAAACAGGAGCACTTCTTTGCAGTACACTTAAAAAGAGCTTAGCTCTGCAGAATTAAGACCACAGTTGGGTTAAACACTTGTTATATCAATACCATTACACCATGGTGTAAAATAAAGTACTTCATATTTCTCTATAACAACATAGGTTTTATGTTTACTTCTATGAAAGGCTCTGAGCTGCATCCAAACACAGTGTATACAGAAAAAGCATGCTTTTTTCTTTATTGCTGCTTGATGTTTTTATTATTCTAAGACCCATTAAAATCAATAGTGCAATATACATTCATTTCAAATGAGATATTACATTGCCAAAATGAATATACCTCAAATAAAATATAATGCATTTTCTGCCCAAGTGACTCGGCTACTGATGCTTTGAGTCATAAAAGATATTCCAGTTATTTAATATGAATTGTATAATATATATAGAAGATTTTACTGTAAACTCTGAATGTTGTATGTTACTACAATATGCTATCAATGTACACATATTACATGAATTCTAAAAGTTTTAAACAGAAAAAAATAATGCAAGGGGAACATTTGGACTCTTACTCTGTAACAAGGAGAAAACAATACTATGTTCTATTTGGAGCACATCCTAAAGTCGAAGACAAAGTAAACACCAACCAAAATATTAGGAAGATAGAGCCTGATGAAAAGCTTTCTTGTTGCATTTTGAACACTCAAAACTTGCTAACTCTGAAGTTGGCTTAAAACCAGACCTCTGCTGCAGCACCACGTTTGCAACTTTGAAACTGAAATTTCAGAACTTTTCCAAAATGACAGAATGAAGGATTTTTTTTTAAAGACAGTTTTAGCTCTCTCACCCTTTCCTACCATAACTTTGACAATTTGCTTTTCCATACTTTTTTTTTTTTTTTTTTTTCTTTTTGGCTGTTCTAGAACTTCAGAGGTGTCACTACAGGATGTGCACTTTGAGGCAGCTCTGGTCCTACACTCTCATTGATCTAATGGTCCATATGGATGTCATGTTATTTGACATTTAAGCTGACAGGCTTCAAAGTGTGGAAATTAACAAAATCTTTACAAATTAGCAATTTGCTGTTTACAATTTTCTGTGAAAATTTTGAAATGAAGGTTGCCACTGCTATGCCAAATTTCAACCGGTTATGATGGGAAATAACTAAGGTGTTAAACCCCAAACATAAGGCTTTATAAAAGCTCTCTAAAAATAATAGGCAATAAAACTACACATTAAGATACTGCAGCAAAATTTCTTATTAAAGAGTTGTTACTCTGCATGCAAAATTAGTATTTTGAAACGCAGTCACTATTTTGACTATTCTTGCTTCAAAAACAACAGCTCCAAGATCTACATTGATTTTGAATTCCAAACCATAATCTTTGCAAAATGCATAATGAGAAAAGATCTGAAAAGCCTTATATGATGTGCTTGTGTTCAAAAACACCTTAAACTTGTTAGTAACTGGACTCTAGAGTTACATCCTTTTCATCAGTGCAGATAAAACCCATTTTGTGAAGTGTCTTAAAAATCAGTGTGCCTGGAGAGAAAAGGGTCTAATTTTGCAAATGTTCCACTATAAACCTTTGAGAATAATGTTTTACTGGTCACTGCCTTTTACATGGAAATGTATCCAAAAGGAGCACTTGTCTTGTTTCGACACAGCGCTAACCAAAACGGTTATCCCAGTGATGGTCATCTTGCAGTGAGTGCCCAGATGGTACCCATGGCCTCCCAAGGCTACTCAGCAGAGATGCTCCTGAACCACCTCTACAAGTAACATCTCTCCACCCAGCAGCAAAAGCTAACATTAAATCCATTTAAATCATATCAAAAAGGAGAGTAAATTAATGCCTGATCAGATGACGCTTTTTCCAAGAGCTGCACATGCTCTTACAAACCCACTTCTATAATAAATTTTAAAGTAGATAACACATTATTCTATTTTATCCCTCAAATAAAACTCATGTCCTCATGGTTTGACAGCACTGAGACTTTCCCAGGGAATTCTGCAGCTTTCCACTCTATGCACAGAACTAGTTTTTAAATGTGACACATAAAATTTAAAGCAAACTGCTACTTGTTCAGTTTCATGAAACAAGCAGGCATATAATGAAATATTGCCGAAAGGTTTTCAAATTCCTTATTTTTACCCCAAAATGTTCTCTTATTTTACAAATTAATGAACAAAGATTTGCTGGTTTGGAAAACTACTCCAGAAAGGAGCAGTATCCTCTCATTTAGTCATACTCTCTTTAAGCGCACTTCCTCTAGGGAACAATCCCTTCAATAAGTATTTTTATTTGGCTCATTTTCATCCTTCATATCTGTCTGCGTTAAACTGAAGACTGGTTGTTCATAACTTGAGCCATAGCGTTTGTAGTTGCATTAATGATGCAAGAGTGCGGAATATAATGATCATGATGTAAGTGCAGTGTAAACATCAAAGAAGATCCAGTTAAAGAACACAGAAAAAAAAGACAAAAAATTCCTTTGACCTTTGCTTCGAAGTTACAGATGATCATGCTACTCATTTATAATTTACAGCCTGAAGCAACATGGGTCTCATTTCCCTTTTCGGCAAGAAAAAAAGGGACAAACTCTTGAGTAGTGATACAGAAAACAGGGAAATACTATTAATGTGGTCCAACTTTTACAATGTGCTGGGAGTATCCTGTCATTATATTGTGTGAGAAATCATTTTATGTCTGCGGGAAAGCATGTTGAAAAGCTACAACAGGAACTGTTGAAATTAGTAACATTCTATATTACATTTGCACACTTCACTGAGCACAGAACAGTTTGTCTTTCCTCCATTATCAGGTCACAATGCTATCTAGAAATTTCATATTCATTACTCAGATTATAGCTGTATTAGGAACATACAACAGCAAAGCATGTTATGTTTATAAAACATTGGTTTAGGCTAAATCATACACAGGCAGTTTTGGGGTGGATTGTGTCCACATAGCAGCTGATGTAGCTGCTGGGTGGCAGCTAAGATCTTCCTTCATGCATCACTTTATTTTTGCAAAAACTTCCAGGTATTGGCAAAGATTTGTTTCAGTTTTTATGCTACTGTTCTAGCTATGAGTAAAAATCAGCTGTGAGAAGTTAATGAGACGTGTCCCTGCTCCCAAAGTTTATTACCAGAACTGAGGCAGATATTACTCTATGTCTGCAAAGGCAACCTCACACAGGAAAAGGAATTAAGTGGAGGACATCCATAGAACGTTAATTCCCCATTCTTATGTCTCAGCAACTTTAAGACCTGTAACAGACAGCCAAGAGGCCCAGGACAGTTTGGCATGGGCTTAGAGAATACAAGTTAATAGGATCTCTAATATCACTCCATTAGCAGGAAATGTATTAAATAAACAACCCATTAGGTCTTGGGAATTATCCTTCAAAAAAACCACAGAAAGTCTGAAGGCTGGAGCCAGCCAGAAACTAGGAAAAAAGTACATCTGACTTCAGTTCCAGTGATTTGACCATGTCTGACCATCATCGCACTGCCTAGGGGAACGTGGTGTCACCACACCACTGATGCCACATACAGAGTCCAGCTCTGTCCAGCATTCATGTTTCAAAAGGCAGGTTAGAATAATAATAATAATAATAATAATAAATA